CTCACGGGACATGGGGGTTTCAGAGCTAAACTCCATGGCTACGGACAGGATATAGATCCCCACTGCCCCGATTGTGGTGTTCCGGAGACTGTTGAGCATGTGGTCACGGCCTGCACTGCTTTCGACGAATTAAGAGCGAGGTTAATGAGAACCACGGGGATTTACGTCCTCACTGAGGAGGAGTTTCCTCAGTTGGTGAGTGAAGAAAACTTCCCGCGGTTCAAAGAGTTTATAAATGGCTGGAAGACGGCGGTGGGCCCAGCTCACTTCAACCTAGGTGCACGCAGAAGGAGAAGAGGACCAGTCCCAGGAAGACCTCCGGATTCGGGAAGCCAGGCCTAAAGGAGCCAGGAAAAAGTAGAAGAGCTAGCTGTGTGCACAGCTTAGAATTTTGTAAACTGATATTATGGCAGTAGTGTGTTATTATGCATTAATGCTTAACATCACACTACTGCATACACCCGTGTTGCCCTGGTGGCATGGGTGGGTGGAAAACAAATAAATATAAATAGCCCCTTTTTAGTATCCCCAACAGCTTGCACAGGTGACTCAAGCCATGTATCCACAAAATGGCCGCTAATCAGCTGACTGCAGGCTCTTTGTCCATCCTTCTGTGGAATGCAAATGGACTGGCACAACACAAAACTGAACTGGACTTTTATCTGCATGAAAAACGTACCAAGTTGCTTTTGTTATGAGTCGCAATAATTTTGATTGGAACGTTTGAAGTTTTTGTAGGTGGGTCTTTTTAGCGATGCCGTATATTTGTGATGGGTATGTCCATATGGGCTTAAGTAAGTATGTATATGTATTCAGTTTCTGTTTTAGTTTTAGTTTTGAAGATTTAGCAAAAAGATAGTAAAGTAGTTTGAGTCGTTCGTTAAGTGTCATACGTTTCATTTTAATATGTGGGCCCCATGTCATCCTTCTGTCGAAAGTGAGTCCAAGGTAAAGTACCGTGTCCGTTTGAGGAATTTGATTGTTGTCAATATAAACTGGAGGACAGGTGTTTTTTCAAAGAGTAAATGTTATATGTTTGGATTTGTCATGATTAAGTCGAATTTTCCATAGTGTGAACCAATCTTGTAGTTTAAGCAAATGATGTTGTAGAATAAGTGAGGCCTGTGTAGGGTCTTGATGTTTTGTGAGGATTGTTGTATCGTCTTCATATGTAGCTGTCAAGATCTCATCGTCAATAGGTATATCGTAAGTGTATATAACGTAAAATAGAGGGGCTAGTATTGAACCTTGGGGAACTCCGGCCAAGATTGGACGGACTGAAGACACTTCCGAGCCCTGTCGGATAAGATTGGAGGATAAGATAGTACGTGTATAGAAGTATAGTCTTTAGTTTAAAGAGAAGACCCTGGTGCCAGACTTTATCAAACGCCTGAGCAACATCCAAAAATACTCCAGTTGCATATAGTTTTTGTTCTAAAGCTCCAGCAAAGTAGTCTGTAACTCTGTGCAATTGATGTGTCGTCGAATGGAATGTGGGAAAGCCGAATTGGTGGTCAGGTATTATCTGTTGGTCAGTCAATATGTCAACAAGTCTTTTGTATATTAATTTTTCAAAAACTTTAGAGCATATAGGAAGGAGGCTATTGGGTCTGTAGGATGAAGGACTGTATATGTCTTTACCGGGTTTGTGAATCATCTTAATAAGTGAGTATTTCCATTGTAAAGGGAATTTTGACGTCCTTAGAATACAGTTATAAATTGTTGTCAGAAATACTAGAGCTTTCTTGAGCATTTGTTGGAGTGCTTCGGCTGTTATTAAGTCATGACCAGGAGCTTTTCTTTTCGGTAATTGTTTGATTTGAAGTGCAACCTGAGATGGAGTAAAAGAAGGAGGTGGTAGTGTCAGCTGAAGTGGGATGTCTAATGTGTTAAGTACTATAGTCTCATGTTCTGTGTTAGTGAAGTTTGTAAACGGTTTAAATACAGAAGAAAGGTGGTGAGCGAAGAGTTCAGATTTTTCCTCATCCGACACGGCCCAGGATCCATCTTCTTTTCTAAGTGGTGCTGACAGCTCTCGGTGCTTTAACAACTTTTTGGTATGCTTCCACAAGCTCCCATCGTCAGTAGAAAGACCACTGATGTATGCGTCATAGTTAGTTCTGTTAAATTTTTGGATTTCTCTTTTAAGTTGATTGTTTAGTCGGTTAAATGTCTGTCTATCTGAAGGGTGTCTGTCAGTCTGCCATATTTTACGCGCTCTTCTCTGATTAAGTCCCTTATGTACTGAGGATATTTCGGCAAGTGCTCAGCTGTCGCAGAGTTGAATTTTGGTATTGATGATGTCCAAGCAGCTTGTTGAATAATTTTGGTGAATGTTTCCACAGCCTCCTCCAGTTCTTTTTCACCTTTTATGGACACTGGGATCAAAAGCGAAGAGTTTAAAAACTCTCTATATGCATCCCAGTCAATTGGTCCTTTGATGAGAGCTGGTATTTTTTGCACGTTGACGGCCTCATCGAGTACAATAAGGTGTACCGCTGAATGATCAGAGCAAAGATCAGAGCTCGTACTTATGGAATGAGGTACAGTACGCTTTGTAATAAAGAAGTCCAAAAGGTCCGGGGATTTGAGTCTCTATACAGGCCAGTATGTCGGTGTGTCAGGATTTATAGTGTCTGATGAAAACTCGTGGATAGAAGCCCTCAAATTTCTTCCTCTTGGTGTGCATAGTCGTGACCCCCAATGTTGGTGCTTTGCGTTGAAGTCACCACCTGCTATGAAACATCGACCTAAGCTTTGGAAGAAGTTGCAAAACATCGAAGATGTCAGCACATATCTTGGAGGACAATAGATGGAAGCTAGTGTCAATGTGTTGTGTTTCATGTGTAATGTGATGCCTGTTGACTGAATGTCAGGTGTAGTTGGTAAGTGTAAATGGTTGTGTGATAAAGAAGATCTTATAAGTATAGCAGTGCCGCCGTGGGCAGTGTTGTCGGGGTGGTCTGTCCTGTGTGTCACATAACCAGAAATACCGAATTTCGATCGTGGTGTAAGGTGAGTTTCCGTTATCAGGGCTACATCTATACGTTTTTCATGCAGATAAAAGTCCAGTTCAGTTTTGTGTTGTGCCAGTCCATTTGCATTCCACAGAAGGATGGACAAAGAGCCTGCAGTCAGCTGATTAGCGACCATTTTGTGGATACATGGCTTGAGTCACCTGTGCAAGCTGTTGGAGGATACTAAAAAGGGGCTGTATGAGGGAGTTTAAACCATTGAGTAATTGGAGCAATTGAGGTGGGGCATTATTTTCAGCTGAAGGTCGCTGCTGAGTAGTTTCCCGCCTCATACCTGAACATGATGGTTTGATGTGAACAGATGTAGTAGCATTATCTCTTCTTGTCATCTGGTTTCTTGATGGTTCCAGCAGCTGAGCTGGCGTAGCCTTCTGCGAAGAATTTTTTTGTATCGGCTGCTCTTTTCGCAATGGCTGCTGAAGAGTCGGAAATTCTTCGAAACTTGGTGGTGAAGGGAGAGGTGGAGGATGGTTGGTTCTTGCTGTTCTCCTACGCGCCCTCAGATCCTTCAGGACTTGGCATCCTCAGTAGTTGGCCGGGTGGTCTCCAAGGCAGTTTGCGCAGGTCGCCTTTGTCTCCCTGGTCTTTAAGCAGGAAACAATTTCGTGGCCTTGGCCACATTTAACACATCGTGGAGAATGGTTGCAATATGATTTTGTATGACCATATTGTTGGCATCTTATACACTGAGGTATAATTCTTTTTTTTCGAGGCTCCCCTACAACAATTTTTGTATAATTGAAATTGATTCAATTTCATAAATTTTTTCATTGAAAGTAGCCTTTGTTATGTCTATGAAAAACATGGGCAAAGGTTTTTTTAATTGAGAGTATACATTTGTGATGTTTGTTGCAATGTAACCATGTTTTTCTAAATCATTTTTAATTTCAGAGATTGGGGTGGTGTGGTGCAAATTTTTAATAACAATTCTTCTATTTTTGTCCTCAGGTAGCTGATATGTGTGGAATTCAGCACCTCCATTTCTAAGACTACTAACTAGTTTACGGTATACATCAGGTGTTTTTGGGTAAACTGTTACACCTTTGATAGTTGTTTTTAGAGAAAAGAATTTGGAGCTGCGTTGTTTTCAAGGAATAGGACTAATGCCTGATAATTTTGAACGTCGTTTATGTGTATTGGTGGTGGTTTTTTGTTTGTTTAATCATTTACTGCGGGTTGTTCATTTCCGGTAATAGTATTAAGTACTTCATAAGAATTACTTACAGATATTGGCGTTGCATTTTCTGTTTCGGTTTTTTTGTATTTTCTCGGATCCCTAGATTCATTAGGAAAATTTCTTTTTTTACCCGTTACCAATGCCCAAGCATCACCACAAGTAGCGTCGATTAAGTACATCGTTTCGTCCCTTACCACAACATTTGTAGTTGGGTTGGGATCCATTTTTTCGGTGGATATCACCTTCAACTACGTATGTTCACTTTCGGTGTTCTTCCTTCAACTTCGAAAAAGATAATTTTATGTTTCTACTTGAAAATTCAAATGAAAATTCCAATAACCTTTTTAGTTAAAATTTTTTGTGTTTATAGGTTTCTCATAATATATCTAAAAAAAAAAAATTATAGATGTAAGGTAGATTTTAAGTTAGTTTTAGGATAAAATTATGAAGGTGGAGTCGAGGCAAAATACCTTGAATAACAGTAAAGAAATAAAGATAAAATAAAAGTGAGGATTTCTTAAATTTTTTTTGAAATGTGTCTGAGTTACAGCACAATGAACATTTATCAGTAATTATGAATAAGCAGAAACAAACCATCTATGAAACTGGGGGTTTAAAAAAAAAAAAAAAGGTCACTGTACGATTCGCAGAGAAATTTCGATTTGAGAGACTCAAGGCTCTATTTTGTAATCTCCATATATATATATATATATGTATGTATATTGTTTTCTCTACTGTTTTGTATTATAATAATTAAGTATATCTATCATAACATTTTTTCATTACAGGTGCACCTTTGATTGGCTCACTTCCTCATTTTTACGACGCTGAAGAGGATTACTTGAATGGAGTTGTGGGTCTCAAACCTGACAAGGACAGCCATGAAATAACATTTATTATGGAACCCGTAAGTAATCTGATTATAAAAATACTACTTTTATAATTTCATTTTTAATGGTGTTTAATGAAAATGCAAGAAACCAGTAATATATATATATATATAAATATATTTAAACATAACCATTTAATTGAGAATAAGGTCACTTATTAATTATTAATTAAATGGTTATGTTTAAATTTAATTAAATGTTTAAATTAAACTCAAAGGTCGATTAAATAAAAGTTGTATATATATAGGATATCTGATATATATAGATACCCACATGAATACTGATAGTGAAAAACAACCATCTTAGAAAGAATCTATTTTACTTTAAACTTTATTAGTAAACTAAAGACAAATGTTTTAAGATTCATTACAAAAAAAAAATAAATTAAATACATACTATTATTCCGTATTAACTACTAAGATATTATTTCTTAACCAGTTCATTCATAATATTGAAATACTAACAACAGACTATTAATTACTTTTTGAAATTTTATGTTTTTATTTAAATTTGTACATATTATTTCTCGAAGGTTTTTTTTTGTCAGTAAGCCAAATCTTCGTCAATTCTTCACCAAATCCAAGGGTTTGAATACTTTTTTTTTTTTGGAGTTCAATTGAAGTTTTCTCCTTCAAGTTGGATAAATAGCTACATTCCCCGAAAGTTTAAGGTAAAAATTATAAAGGAAATGAAATTTATTTGGGAATACCTCAAAAAGTCATCATTATTATGTTGACCGTCCTCATAATTATTTGAAAGATTACTAAATTTTCTATGATCCTGAGTTTCTCTACAAAACAAAAAAAATAATCTAAATCTATTAGAAATTTGGAAATTTGAAACAACTTGTATCGAGTGAAGGAGCAATGTGGTTCCAAGTACTTCTGTTTTATGAAAAAACAGATTTGAGATTTATACTTGTATTTATATTAAATTCCTTACAATACAAAAAAAAAATTATCGAATTTGGAACATTATTACGTGAGATATAGGTTATAGTGATTCGTAAACATTTGGGTTTAAAACATGAATGAAGTTTAATAATAATTTCATTTTCCATGGTTGATTACAATAACAACAAAAAAAAATATAGGAAATGATTCCTTCATCTTTTGATACCTTGAACAATTTAATTTCCTTATTATCTTGTCATTTGCTGACAGACCTTTGAGAATCATTCGTGCGGAAAACTAGAATAGAATAGAAAAATCATCTTTATTCTGGGGAGAGTCTCTTAAGAATAACAATATTGTTCACACAAATTAACAATAAATCTGGTCAAAAGACCTTTTACAATAAAGCAGCTTACAACAACTAAAACATAAATAATAAGGCGAGTATATACATATTTCGGAAGATATATCAACGAAAGCAGATGAGCACTAGTGTTACAATAATGCATACAACTAGTGTACTTTATTTTAAATTCTTTCAAGTTGAATGGGTAGCTGCTAACATAAGTATCTTTATTTTTTTCATAATTCAATCTATTTCTGAAAAAAGCTAATAAATAAAAATTGGCCAATTAGTTTTGAACTGATAACGAATTTTTCGAGAAAGATATTCGAACAGCCACTGTACGTATTTTCGTCGGTATGATGAATATGATTTCATCGTAAGAATCGACTGCTGCTTTTGCACACTTCCCCATTTGAGGAGTCTTACTCAAATTACCAATTAGTATACCAGATCAATACTCCATTTTTATATCCGAACCAACCTTTCCATATTTTCCTCTCTGTAATGATTAGTGAGAAATACATTTTAAAATTCAGTCATCTCGATAAAACCTTAAGTATAATGAACGAAAATGGGCTAAAAAATAATTTTAACGGTATCCATTCAATAAATATAATTATTTTTTATACTTTTAGATCAGTGGCGTACCATTACTAGCGAGGAAGAGACTCCAATTCAACATCCATCTACACCCTGTGAGATTTGTTAATCTGACTAAGAAACTGACACCAACGCTGGTTCCTATCTTTTGGATAGAAGAAGTGAGTTACATATTTTATTTTGTATAATTTATAATATTAATTTGTTTTTTTATATTATATATTCACAGCCTACAATTTAAATATTCCATACAATCCCGTCCCACTAGATCTCGTACCTCCGATCTCTATCCACCTCCTCACCAAACTGCTGCGTTTGACAAATCCTTTATAATTCAGGCCGTCTCCTTCTGGAATACCATCCCTCCCGATATACGACATGTACAATCAGTTTCCTCATTTAAATCTCTCCTTTTTAACCACCTATTCCTTTCCCAACACGATTGATCATGAAATGTAGATAAGAGAACCTTTTAAAGTAACCCCAGAAATGAGTTTCTTTACTTATGTTACTTTATTTTTTAACGTTTGTATTATACATATCAGTATGAGCTTAGTTGTTTTATTTTATTATTTTTTCCAATACTTTAATGTTAATAAGAATTGTAAATAATTAATTTTATGTATGACCACACACGCATTTATTCTGTATCTATAATTTGTCCGAAAGGGACAACAGTCCCAAGATAATAAATAAATATTTTCATTTCATTTCATATATATAACGAATGTTTGGTTGTTAAATGAATTGTTCTTAAAAAAAGATGAAATAATATATTGTACATTCATTATATACTATAACCTATCCATGAACATAGTACAACTATTTATTTATTTTTCTTAGCGCAGTGTTATCCTTCTATAAATATTATGTTTATATTTATACTTTTTAACGGTTGACAGAATGATTAACTCCTATTTTGACATTTTCTAATAGATTTTTTCGTTGAAAGTATTCTACTCTTTTAAAATCATGCCAGAAGTATTAGTATTGAAAATTGATGGTAAATATTTCGTCCATACTTTCGAAAAAAAAATCTGGTGTGTACACTCACACGACTTTCGAACCTATTTCAGAAAAGTTTTTATATCTTTACATATGTCCAACAAGAAACAAAAAAAAATTGAATTAGATTTATTTTACTGACAATTGATCAAAGAAAAGATTTGAGTACGATTTATTTGATGAACTAAAGCAATGTAAACCGGCTTAAGGCAGATTAGTGTAAAAATTTCAATAGCCCCTAATATTGCTGATCAGAAACTTTTTGCCATAAAGGAAAAAATAGAGGAATGCTTGTGTGATGCAGGCAACAGATTTTCTAACTTTCACCTAGTTATCTTTTTTCTCTTATTCATTCCTTTATGATACCAGGATAAATACCCGTAATTTTACATTAGAAATTGAATAGTTGTAACTCCGTAAATAGTATCCGAATCAACGATTTTTATATAGTTTTGCAGGAAATTTCATTACCTTTAAAAAAAAAACGGCTAAACGGTGTTCGGAATCAGAGGGCTCTGAAACGTAAAGAACCGTCAAAAACCTCATATCGGAAATCTGACTCGATCTCAGTACTGTCCTTATACGTAGAAAAGTAATAAATTAAAACATGTGTAGAAAATAGAATACGCTGTATCATCGCTAATACTGTTTCGATTCCGATAATTTTTTTTCGTTTTGTTGGTAATTTAATTACCTTTCAAAAGTTTTATTATAAATTTTACCATATAATATATACTTAGCGAGTTAGGCCCCAAATTATTTTGCTTTTCCTTATAACTTTTTTTCCTGAATTTTTTCGGGAATCTAGTCCATGTATGAAAATTGAAAGGACAATTATTAGAAAATTATAGGAAAGTTTCATCAAAATCTTTAGAGCCAATTTCGTGCTATAGTCTGTAGAAATACATGTTTTTCATTTATTGTACAGCAGCTATTGGCGATGGAGCATCCAATAATCATTTAAAATCATTTTAATGATTATCATATTCTTATAGTACGAGAAATACATCAACGAATTTCAGGTGAAAATAGTAGAGAGTAAAAAGAATCTTTATTCAAATAAATAATCACACTTAATTTATCCATTATTTGTTGCGTGTCTATAGAGCTTTCACTGAGCAAAACAATTAAATGGTATATTTATTAAATTAATGGAATCGTAATAAACCCGTTGAATAACCAATTATTCTCCTCTTTATTATTTAACGATGTTTAAACATTAACTTCACATTGTTTGAATAATTTAGACGATAATGATAAAAGAGTGAATATCTAACTGGCGGAAGAAAAGTGCCACTTAGCCTGATGTTCAGATACCCAGAAATTCAGGAATTAAAAAGTTTCACAGCTTCATCAAATATTTGCTAAATAAATGTAATCCTGAGGGATTTGTGACTTGAATACGAGAAATAAAATATTTAGATTAATTAAAGTTGTTAATATTTAAATAAATACGACTTTTATTTTAATAATGTTAATATTTCTAAATTGTTTCATCTATATTCGTTTGATATTACAAAATAAAATAGTTATAATCGATAAGTACCACAGAGTGAAACCATAATGACACAAATGCACAAAGGACTGGTGATGACATCAATGCCAATGATTAAAATGGACTTCAACAATCTGTTTATGTTACTTGATTACTGCACACTAGTGAATTTTGTCAACCAAATCCTATTTGGTTTGTTTGTTTGTTTATTTAGGCTTTAAGGCGTAAAACCCTTAGGCCTGTGATGTGCGATACCTGTGAGTCGGTTGTGTTTGTAAACTCTTTAGATGAGCAATAAAAATAAATAATGAGGAATCAAAAATTAATAATATATAGATAAATTAATAAATGAAAAATATATTTAGAAACATATAAACAATTAAATATATTAAAATAAATATTTAAAAAAAAGAAAGAACTATTTTTTTATTTAAAGAACTATATTTTATTTAATAGTCTATGGATTTTAAGAAATTTTATCACTGTTTTTATGTTTGATTCGTTGTTGCTTAATACTGCTGATATATCCGGTTTTAGAGATAATCGATTTAGGCTTGAAGTATAATAAGTGCATTCTTGGAAAATATGATTGATTGTGAGAGGGAGTCCTGTTTGGTTGATGTTTTGTTTTTCGCATTAGAACTTATAAAGCCGCTCATTCCCAGGCTTAAACGTAAAGCCATCCTCCTTTCCAAAAAAAAAAAAAAAAAAAAAAATTAATTTTTCTTTGTTCTATTTTTGAGTATATCAATGATCTGAGCGAAATTCAAAATCAATTAAAACATGGTATTTTTTTAAATCACGTGTGCTTCAGTTACTAACATTAAGGACCTGTCAAGTAAAAATATAAAAATGCTATCTGAGAACAGCATTTTAATCATATATATATATATATATTTTTTTTTTTTTTTTAATTCTGAATTGGTCAGCCAGATTTTTTTTATTTTACCTCATAACGAACTTAAAAATCCTCTTTTGCACGAAAATAATACGTAAGGTCACTACTCGTTTTATGGTTGCTTTACTCAACTCTATTATTTAAAAAAGTTTTTTAGTGACCATTTCATATCTTATTTTACATATACAAAACAGACGGACCGTAAGGAAGACACTTCCCTTCATATTCCTAGAATTATGGTTACAGATTGGCAATAAGAATAATTATAACTGGCTGGCTCGCATTCGTATTCGCATAAAATATTGCTCAGTTAACAACTGATAAAATAGTATAGAAATAGATAGAATGCATAGAAATGCAATTTATTATGAGGTGGAGGAATTCATTTTACATAATAAGTATTTAATTTGTTTCATTCCAATTTAGTGATAAGAGATTATATAAGCAAAATTAGATTTTAAATTGATAATTATTCATATGTCCGTGTGAATAATTCCCACAGTATAGTGAACAAATAACAAAATAATAGGGAAATAAATTAATGTGATGATACCATAACATATAGAAAACTATTCTCTTTTACAATGTAATTGTAACTGCCAAACGAAAAGATAATCAATTTTAAACCATTTATATTTTAAGCTAACATAACAATTTGTATTACATTACGATCATCATTACAAATTACAACAGGCTGTAACCTTATAATTAATGGTTCGATTTCGATGATTTTTATTTTGTTTTATAATATAATGATAATATGGATAATATATAATTATCCTTATTAAATAAATTAATAAAAATAAAAACTTTCTTCTCAAAATTAAATCGTGACTTCGCAGATTGTAATTTATTATTTAACGTTTTTCATAAGCCTGTATTTGGACATTGACATAGGAAATTTTATATTATTTAAAGAGGAAAGTAAATGGGTGTTAATGAGTTTTTGGTACCTCATCAGTTTAATGACACTATTGCTTCTTCAATATCCAATCGTATGTGTTTTGTTGAACTAAAATATTTTTCTGATACATTAAAGTAAATTGGTATAAATATTGCAAACAAAGCATGTTTTTGTTCTCATGTGGTTTTTTTTTTCCAGTTATGCAGATTAAGTTTCCTCTGTGAAAATTCTGTATTCACTAATTAGTCCGAGCGCTGACGGTCAAAAAGTCGACTTTTGCTGTATTAAGATAAAACTGTTTGGAATGCTTTACAGCACCATGCACTAAACTATTGTTCTAAAGCTAAAACACCTATTATAGTAATTAGCAATAATTTACGGTCCTCTGATGTTGAGCTTCGGTGTTGTTGTTCGTTAATTTCAAATCTCAAAAAAAATTAATTTTCCTTGAGGGCCGAAATTAGAATAGTATTAACCATGAAAATAGAGAAAAACCAGCTTGTGATAGCAGTTTATTGCAAAATTCAGTTATATTGGGTAGCTAGACTTCATTAGGCAAATCAAAAGACATTATATATACAAAGATGTATAAATCATTTGGTTGACATGAATAACTCTAATTTCAACATTTTTTATTATTTATTTTAGTGATATTTCTAATGGGAAAAAATCATACCTTTTTTCACAATTCTATATTTCAACACCACCATCACATATTATGGTGTCCACTTACTCACTGTCTGTGCAGATACTATAAATTTTCCAACTAGCAATAGCACTAAAATGAGTTTAGTCAAAAATGTTCTAATTGCAGTTACTCACTCCGTCAACTGAAAGGCTCATATACTAAAAATCTTGA